CAAAGGTGAACACAGGCTAGAGGGCTTGTCCAAAGGCCAAGCAGTAACAAAAGGAAAACAAGCACTAAAGGGGCACTAATCTAAATGATGTGGCTTACAAGATACAGCTGACCAGTCACTACTTGGAAGTTCGTTAAGTGGACACCTCCTTGTGGGCCCCTCAGAACTTCGTTATGGCATAGGCCATCTTAAGCACCCACCATTCAACGGGGCACCCCAAGTGTTCAAAGCCCAGACTATAGGCAGAAAAGCTGAAAGGGAATCCAGAGGGGTTCTGCCCCTTCATGAGATCTTAGGAGTTCATTTTTTCTCTTCAAAGACTAGACTGTTGCCCAGAAACTGTTGTCAGTCTTCTCGTTGGGTCTGTAATTTTCTGTATAAAGATAAAATTGAGCTATTACAAAGAACGCTTTTTCAAGATTGTCAATGCCCACTTCCTTTGGTGGAGACCATGCACACCCTACAGAACATCACAGCATCAGTGTACATTAGTTGCTAACACAGTACAGGCTAGTAGTCATTAAATGGACGCACACATGGAGGAACAAGGGCTCTTTGGTTCCAAAAAATACCTGGGGGGGAGGGCACCAAAACTGTAAAGGCACACAAGAGCAGAGTAAGGTAGGGTGTTGTGGGGAATTTGGTGTGGCTGGTGAACATTGTATGTTTGGCAGAATCGCAAAGGAGAGGGCAGACCAGACCATGAAGAATCTCGTGTTTCGAACCAAAGTCAGTCGTAGTGGTGCAGCGCGCTCAGAAATAACTGTGCGCATCGGTCCAACAGTTTTGTGATTGGGGCTGTGAGATCAGTGGACGGTGAGAGAATCAGAGCTGTACTTTCAGGCCCCGAGTCTATGTGGAAAAAAGTGCTTTCGTTGCCCAGGGACTTGACTCCTGACGTCAGTGTGGGTGTGATGTATTCACTCTGGTGTTAAATGATCAGTGCAGGCAGGTTAGAAAAATGCCTTCCGTCAACTGGAACATGTATCCACTCTTTCTCTCTCTTTTCCCAACTTGGGACAATGCCATGCCAAAACCTGCAAAGATTTCAAAACCATAAGAAATACTAGTTACCAATTCTTTGTTTCTTAAATGTGCCATTCCTCCCCTTTAAAAAAAAAAGTACTAATTCTTTTTTTATCACTCCTTTGCATCATCAAAACAGATAAAAGGGCAAGTATTCCTTGATAAATCCTGGTCTGTTCATTTAGTTCCAACAGAATGCCTCTCACTTGTGAGACCCTTGCATCCCAGCTTCATCAGGACGTCCTGTTGTTTCTGCTTTGAAAATAGAGCTCCCAGCTGCCCACCCATCTTCATATCCACCGCCAGCCTCTGGGCGCAAGCTCAGCCTCCCTCACTGGGGCAGCTGTAATTATGGGTTACTGGTTTCTCCAGTTCTGTTCTTGCCCTTACCCGGTCTTCTCCCAGCGAAGGGTGAAGTCATCTGTTTGAAATACACGTAGGCTCATGGCATCTCCGGATAACAAGGCTTCACTACTTGCCCACCGAATTTCTGATATAATCCAGGTTCCTTTTCAGGGCTTACAAAGAAGGAGGTCTAACCCCTTTGTATTCTTCAGTTTTCTCTTAGCCACTCTCCTCCTTTTTCACGGTAGGTCTGCCTCCAGATGACACTTTGATTTATTCACAAGGGGATGATCCAGAACTGATAGCTCCTTCGCCTACGCAATCAAAAAGACGATGGCAGTCCAAACGAAGAATGTGCAGGACTAAAAAGCTGGGATGTTCTCTCCCCAGAAACAGTGTATAAAACAGCAACACGCACCTGAATTGCATTTCTGTTAAAGCTATTTACTACTATGACTCCTTGTCATGTATTTATAATGACCTTAACTAAGCATTTGTCTTAAAAAAAAAAGCTGTTGCTATGATTTTCATTTGCTACTCAAAGTCTAAGTTTTTAGTCTTCTCATTGGGTCTGTAATTTTCTTTATAAAAATAAAATTGACCTATTACAAAGAACACTTCTTTAAGATTATTAAAGCAGGAGTCATTTATAACGTTATTGGGAATGGAGGGGCCCTATTTTTTTCTTCCTGTTTAATTTGCTTTTTTTTTTTAGTGATTAATCTCTCTGAGTTTCTCTCATCTTTAAATCTTTATTGTATTAGCAGTCTGTTGCTGTGTAGCAAATTACCCCAAAGCTTAACAGCTGGATACAACCAACAATACCTCACAGAGTTTCTGAGGGTCAGGAGTCTGGTGATGGCTTAGGCAGGTGCTTCTGGCTCAGGGCCTCTCCTGAGAGTGTAGTCAGGTTGTATCGCTACAGGTTGAAAGGCTGGGGCTACTACAGTCATCTGCAGGACCCACTTCTAAGCTCACTGACATGCCTCTTGGGAGGAGGCATCCAACCAAGAGACGAAAGCAAGATAGAAGCCAACGTGTCTTTTATAACCTAATCTTGGAAATGGTGTACCATCACTTCAGTAATATGCTCTTGGCCACACAGACCAACCCAGATGCCATGGGGGAAGGCACTATACAGGCTGCAAATGTTGGATGGAAAGAATACCAGCGGGCCATCTTGGAGGCTGGCCGTCAAAATTGTGGTGACACATACAGTTTACCCAGAATGCGGAGAGGTACACACATTATTGTCACGTCATTAATTCCCTCTATTTAACCTATTATTACCGCGGTTTGGTAACATTTTGGTAATCAGCATAGCATTTCTAGAGGATTATTTAAACAATTACAAAACACTAAACAAAATGTTGAATCAATGAGCATTAATGATTGACAGTACATTGCAAAATGCAGTTCACTTCAGAAAAGCAAAATGGCTTTGTTTCCTTATGGCAGTGACCAAGAAAAATAAATTAAATTAAATGAGCAATCTGTTCTTTTTACTTTAACTTACTTCTTAAACCTTTTTGGGGTATGTTTTAGGCATTTTGTTCCATCAATTTTTTTACTTATATTAAAAGATGAGCAGAAACCAATGTTGCATAAGACAAAGACTTGTATAAATTAAACACTGAGAAAATATGCCTGGACTGTAATATCTAAGATAACTTATGTTTCAAATCTCCAAACCCAAGGTGCCACAAATCAGAATATTCTAATTCCTTATCTGATAGTCCTGGAATCACGTGTTGGTAATATCTTACATCTGTGATATTATAATGCACAGTCTGTTTTAATTATAGTTCCTACAAGATGCTAACCACTCCTCACATGTTAGTTCATCTACACATGCAGAACTGTATGTAGCATTTTAGATCTGGAAAGATCTTTGGAATTTTTTATATTGTAGCTTTTGAATGGTGGAGAAATACTATGGTCCATGGTTCTGCCTCCCCATGTTCTCTGTTTCATCCTGAAAAATATGATTAAAATTTCAAACTGCGTGATAGCATAGAGCAGTATGAAGTCATTGATCATGCACACTGTAAATAATCTCCAGGAAAAATGCCAGTAGCAGTCGATACAGTCTGGTTCCAGAGAATGGGAAGCACAGCAAAGAAATTGAAGGACGGTGGGCAGGCGGTGTCCTTCTGAGAGCCTCTCTACTCCTTTGTACACATACCCACACGGTGATCAGTGTTTAACTTTCTTCTTAAAAATAAAACTGAGCTATCAAAAAACGACCAAGGTTAAAAGCAGAAGTCATTACAAGTATAGCATCTGCGTGCACACACACACACACACACACACACACACACAACTGTCTGCATTTTGGTTGCTCTGCCACATGTGAAGGAGATTATTTAGGCTTAGCCTTAGGGTCATATAAAAAGTTTAATTCTGAGGTAAAAAAAAATGTCTGCCTTTTTATTTGGCTTGGGAAATTAGAATACGTTGCACAGCGCTACTCTCAGGCAAGGGTTACCAGAAGCATAAAGCTAATTCCTTTCTCCGATGAGTCCCAGCTACAGTGCACAGGAATTATGGGACTTGAGCCAACTTGGACCGGCCTCCTGTGACTTAGCTGTGTTTTATTTCCTGATCTGATTTTCGGTATCAAAATTTGATATTTTCCAAGTTCATGGATTAGAACATACAGATGTGTGAGGGGATAAGTTTTTCATAAGGTCCAGTTACTACCGAGTGCTCTGTGATCTCTCCCATAGTTTAATGCTTTGATTCTTACATGTTACCACTGGATTTCTTTACTTACTTTAGTTCAAGGGTCATCCTTGTTTTCTCTCATAAGAAACTATCTTTCACTCTCCTTTGTCCTTTTATAATTTTCTGGCAGTTTCTCAATTTTTTATCATTTCTGTACAGAGTATTTTTACAAATTCATCCTCTAGACACAGTTTTTCTTAGATCACAGTCTGAAGTTACCAGCATTTGATTAAATAATTGTCTTCTTTTGCTCATTTCTTTCCTAATTATTACTTTATACATACTTTTTAGTAAAGCTAACCCCAGCTCCAATCTCCAAAACTCTACTCTTCCGGGGCATCTGTTCTAAATCCCATTTCTGTATCTAATAAGGGAATTATTTAGTTACCTGCTGGTGCACAACAAACTACCCCAAAATAGTGGTTTTAAAACCACCACTTTATTATCTCCCACAGTTCTGAGGGTTAATGGGGGCACAGCGGGATGGACTGCTGGTCTCCCCGGGAGCCCCTCGTGCACTCTCCGTCTGTGGCAGGGGCTGGGATGCCCACAGTGCTCCTGCTGGCCCCTCGGGGGGAAGGCCGGGCTCAGCCGGGGCAACTGACCCTCTCCCTCGTCACATAGCCTCTCCACACGGTGTTCCCAGCAGGGTAGCACAGGCTTTACGTGGCAGCTCGGGGCTCCCAAAAGGCAAAAGTGGAAGCTGCCATGCCTTAGCCCCTCAGTCACCTCTGTCACATTCCATTGGTTGAAGTGAGTCACAGTGTCCACTCAGGCTCAGTTTGGGAGGAAATGCACAGTGCACCAATACTGGAAGGCGGTATCTGGAGACTAGCGACCCCAGGGGTTGTGTTTTCCTTTTCCTCCACCAAGCCCTTGATTTCTCTCTACTCCTTTTTCAGTTCCCTGTGTCCCAGGTGGTTTGCCTAAGCCTGCAAACCTCACCTTCTTATCCGTAAACATGAAGAATGTCCTGCAGTGGAGTCCCCCAGAGGGCCTACCAGCAGTGGACGTTACTTATACTGTGCAGTATTTCATGTAAGTAGGTCCTTCTCCTTTTGGCTAATTTGTAAGCACTAGACTCAGACTTCACATAATTGTGCAAAGATAAACCATCTTTTGTATTAAGTATTATATTTGAAAAGAAGAAAATTTTAGGTGTTTCATGTTAAATTTTCTAATTTTTAAAGATTTTATTTATTTATTTTTAGAGAGAGGGAAAGAGAAGGAGAGAGAGAGAGAGAAACATCCATGTGTGGTTGCCTCTCACATGCCCCCTACTGGGGACCGTGTCTGCAACCCAGACATGTGCCCTGACTGGGAATCGAACCTACGACCCTTTGGTTCCTAGGTCCACACTCAGTCCACTGAGCTACACCAGCCAGGGCTCTTGTTATGTTTTGTTAGGTTAAATTAGAAAAGAATTTTGTTGTTGTTTTTTGTGTGTGTGTTTTTAAAAAAGAGTTTTTTGGTGGCGACAGGAGCATTAGGGGCTAAGGCAAAAGGAAGTTATTTAAATGGGGAAAAGAATTTGGGCAAAAGATTATTATGTGGCTGAGCAAAGAAGGAAATCCACCATCTCTGAAACATCTAAACTTATAAGAATTATAGACATTTTTAAGTGAAACTGAACACAGAATTATGTGCAACTAGCTGTTCCTATTAGAGATAGTAATGAATGGACAGTTTCACTTTTCACTCTCCCTCAAAACTCAGTGCAAGTGAGAGAGAATGCAAATCAGAGAGACAAAGCCCATCTTCAGAGTGACCCAGGAAACAGCCACAATCCCTAAGCCACAACTAGGAGGTGCACAAGCCAAATACTGTGAGATCTGTAATAAAACAACCACAGAAGCTTGAAGTAAACCTATACCTTCTCAAACTCCAACAGTAGAAAATAATTTCACAAGTATAAATGTCACAGTACTAAGGAGCTTACCTAACAATCTAAGGATGTGGAGTCTAAGGATTTCCACCACCAGAAGGTGAGGAAATGTCCCCATGGAGTGCCAGATTGGTGCCACAAAGTGTCAGAGGAGGAGGAGCTAAAACAGAAATCAAGGTCAAGTGATACATCCTTTGTAGAAGCTCAGTAGCAGGCCAGGGAGAGACCCTAGTGAGACGGGGCAGGTGGGAGGGGGGCAGCCCAGGGAAGTGCCATCCGCCACATCAGCCTCCTGCTGTTGAAAAAGTGTTTCATAAACGTGTTTCTAATGATAAAGCTTACAGAGAAGAAGTAGCAATCTCTTCTCAAGAACAGATTCTTAAGACCACAGAAGGAACTCTTTTAAAAGCAAGTGGGCAGGACTTAGGAAAAAGATGGAAAATAAAAATGTTAAATAAGAGACTTTTAAAACTTATTATAGCTAACAGATAGGGATAGTTGACCAGGTAATAATGACTGCCTAGAATTGCACATCATAAGAGCATGTCGTGTCCAGCAAATTTAATAAAAACAACAGCAAGGCTTACCTTGGTGAAGTTACTGGCCTTTAAGAAAATGAAATGATTTCTGGACATCGTAGCAAAAGCAGGACTTAAGTCGGGTGGGAGGGGAGGCGGTTGTCGGCAGCACTCAGCAGAAACGGGGATGCGTCTTCTGAGAGAGAAGTGGGTGGGGCCTGAGACTCTTACGAGTTCAACAGAAGTATCATCAGGCATTTGGGGAACTCAGACATCCCTCCCCTCAGACCTTATTGGGAGTGGGGAGAACCACTAACTGAAAATAATAGCCACCTGACATTAAAAAAAAAGATGAACCTGAACAAAGCTTAGTAATGACAGGACGATGGTGTGAAGATCAGTAGCATGCATTGTAACAATCTAAATGAAAAACCAAGACTAAATTGTGATGGGAAATATGGTTATTGAAATTTCTTGTACATGTTTGATCCCAGACAATAATAGAACAAATCAGAAGGTGAAGAAAAACTATATGTACTGATTTTCATATCAGGAAACCATTAAATATGATCTAAAGTGAAAATACTTCATTTTCATATCTAAGCTCTTGATATTTTTCCAAAAACAATTTTCTTAATTTAAAAGATCTTTTAAGAACTAATATCTCTTATGGCGATGAAACATTTGAACTATAGCAGTTTCTTTAACTTCACTTTTTTATGTTAAAGTTTAAGTCGAGTTAAATTTAATACTTTTATTACAACCATTTGTGTGGCATAATCTGGTTTTTAGCTCTATATTCAGCTAATTATCCTTCTGGTTACATACATAAGCATAATGTGATGTCCAGAATCATGTATACCAAATATTCCAGGATAATGGGTTTCAGGGTGATTTATTTCTCTCTTGATTCTACTTTTCTGATGGTTTGATTTTTAAAAAAAGTATACCATATTAACAAAAAAGAATAAAGTCATTTTATCTTTGAAAAAAAATGCTGGCCACCAAAGGCAGTAGGAGACTTCAACTGCCATTCCTAAGGAGCTCGTTTGTCTAGACCCTCACCCTCATTTCTGAGGCGTCTCCCGGGAGCTGGGTGTAGGGCGGAAGACATCCCTGTGTAAAGGGGAATGGCTCAGGAGCGGGGCCTGGCCTCCTTTTCCATTAGGTGGAGCAAAGAGCTTGCTCTGTCCTTTGTCTGTCTCTGTGATTCAGGAAAGGGCTTTTAACAGTGGGCAGAGTCATCACTGCTCTCTGACAGCAGATAATTTAGGTTGCTCAACTTTTGAAACAGAATACTTAAAAACAAATCTATGGGTGGGCAGGAGTACAGGGCGGTATATTCCACGGGCAGGGCTCCAGGCTGAGCTCCAGCCAGCCAGTCCTAGGTTCACAGCCAGGCTACAGGCCTAGCTGGGTAACTTTGGGCAGGTTACACATTGTACTTTTGAGTAAAGTTTGTTTCCAAGTAAGAGGTGAAATTTGAACAAAAGTTTATATCTGCCAAAAGAATTTAATGTAAAAAAAAATGGAATATAGCACTGAAAACTCAAGCTTTGGCATCGGGGAAAAGTGCTTCAAGTCCCAGATATGTCTTTTACTAGTGACATGAACTTGAGAGGTTGGGTCCCTTAATCTCACCAGCCTCAGTTTCCTCATCTGTCAGATGGTATAAAAACAATGGCACCTGCCTCGTAGGGGTACCATGATAATTGAGGTAATGTGCAAATGCCACCTGGCACACAGTGAGCACCTGGTAGAGGTTTACCACCACTACCAGAAAGCAGTCCGAGACCACCAAGGGCCCCTTGTGACTTTTTACCTTGCACAAATGTCGTCACTGGAGTGTTTATTGAATGATTCACGTCTGTCAGCTTGTCAGGCTTACAAAGCATTTTGTCCGGAACCCGGTACACAGCATTTTCTTCTCCATCACCACCTGTCGTGGGAAGCTGCCCCGCCCTTGGCACAGTGAGGAAGTGTAAGGAGGGAGGGTCAAGTAGGCAACGGCAGTAGTTCTCAAAAGACATGTCAAGACCTGTTACTGGGCCATGAAATCAACTTGGAGGGACATAACTAACGTTATTTTTAGTGGAAAGGACTGGAGTAGTGTGGAGTGGATTGGAATGGAAAATAAGGGAATGCATGGCATGCAGCAAAGTTAGGTGCTGTCTTACAAAACCTTTGTTTTAGTATGTTAGATATATGTATGATTTTATGAGGCGGGTCACAGTGGAAAATGTCTTTCTTCATGTGGCTCACAGTCAAAGTTTAAAAGCCCCTAGGCAAAGGAGGTCACTTGGACAGAGCAGTTAGTCAGCAAGATCTGACTGGCATTTCTAATGAATTACGATAGGTATGAAACAGGAGCTATCTGCTTTCAGGACTCTGTTGCTGTATTCTGAAACGGGAAGATACCCTTAATCTTTGACAACACTTGACAAAATTTATCTTGCCTCCTTCTCAAGACGTGTGCTCCCCTTGCTTTTGTGATATTTGTTTTCTCTTCTTTCTCTTTAGCTGCTGTTTCTGTTTTTATAGGTTTCAAGTGTGCAATTCTACAGTATATCATCTGTATATTGTGTTGTGTTCACCACCCAAAGTCAAGTCTCCTTCCATCACCTTTAAGCCCCTTTTACCCCCTCTGTCCTCCCCCTACTCCCCTATCCCTCGGGTAAGCCCCACCTTGTTGTCTGTTTCTAAGTGTGCTTTGTATCCAACCTGTAAATCTTGATGCCCCTGAAATTTTACCCTAGGCTTTGCTTTGTCTCCATGGTAATTTCATTCATGCCTACGCCTTCAAAGAGCACTTTTTTGCCATTTATTTCAAAATCACTACCTCCCACTCACGACTCTCTCCTGAGCCCAGGGTCTGTGGACAGCGGCATTTGGGCATCTTTTACATACCTCAGGCCCCGCATGTCACCTGGATTCATGATCTCTCCTTCCCTCTACTGTCCACTCCCATTTCCCAAACCCACTCTTCTCCCGTCTCCCTTGCTTTGGTGAACGTTACCACCATTACACCCTTGTGTCCCAGACAGAAAGAGACGTTGTCCTGAACTCATCTCCTGCATGCGCTCAATCCCCAAGTCCTGTGGCCTGCTATTTCTTCATTTGTCCTATCATTAGCTCCGCGGCCACCATCCTTGTCTAAGCCCCCTGCACCTTGCACCTGGACCCTTACAGTGTCTTCCCAGCGCCTCTCCCCGCGACCCCCAGAGTTATCTTCTCAAACCTTAACACTCTGCCGGAGTCCTCTCAGCAGCCCTGCGTGCAGCCCTGCCTCTTTCCCCGGCTGATCTCCTGCCACTTTCTCTACCTCGGTCTCTCCCCCCTAAAAACACCCCTCCTCTGTGTTTACTCCGGATGTTGTGTTTTTAATGAAGGAAAGGAAAGGTCAATGTGAACAACCTAGCAAACATCACCATCATCATCATCATCACTGTAATTATTGAAAATGCAGCTTCGAGCATGTATTTCAACTTCGTGAATTTCCCCGAAGCCCTTGATGGCAAGTAGATTTTTAAGTTTTATGACAATGTCAAGGTAATTTTTCTTTGAAGAAAAAAAAAAGGATTACTAATGTTTCTTAAAACTACCCATTAAACTCACCTTAGTACTCATGGTGGACTAAACACTTACATAAATATAATTACTAAAAGAATTGATCACACAGTATGTAAAGTCTTTACTATAGCCCAAGAATAATAATAAAACTCAAGCTTGCAAACTGTACTACCCACATGGTAACTCACAGAAAAGAAAGGTGCTTCCAGAAACTCTGACTCATGTTCCTGACAGCTGATGAAAAAAAATTGCCAGCAGCAAAGCAGATTCTTTTTTTATCTCGGTGATAGGCATATCAGTTGTTCTGAAGAGAAGGTCTTAAGTTCCATTCAGTTTTATGTAATGACCGTGTTTTTCCTACTGAAAAGCATAGAGGGCGCCACATTATTAATTCACAGTTTGGTTCTCAGCAGATATGGGCAAAAGAAATGGCTGAATAAATCCGAATGCAGGAATATCAATAGGACATACTGTGATCTCTCTGCTGAAACTCGTGACTATGAACATCAGTACTATGCCAAAGTTAAGGCCATTCGGGGAACTAATTGTTCTAAATGGGCAGAAACTGGACGATTCTATCCTCTCTTAGAAAGTAAGTAACATACTCGTCTGTTAAATGCAAATCAATATCATGTTCATCTGATGTCGTAGTGTTAACAGTTTCAGTGTCACAAACAGCTCTGCCCAAGAAGCCAGCGCCCTGCTGGGCTCCGTTCTGCACTCTGTCTGTCCGGCAGCCGACGGAGTGCCCAGCCCAGGGAGCCCCTCCGGCTGGGTCCCGGAATCTCATCTTTAGAGTGAGCTCTGGCCACGTGGCCTCTAATATCTCTCCCAGATCCCAAGTGAACGGCTGGATGCCAATATTATCCAATTTCAATTTTATTTTATCATTTAGTGGAGACTGTGTAATTTGACTTACAATTAATAGATTTTTAAGAAGTCTTATAGGTGTAGAAACCATTGACTCTGCCCATAAAATTGATTAAAGATTATTCTGATCACCAAACTAAGCCTTTTCTTGTTGTAAACTCGGTGGTGTGATGGAGTAATTTCTAGGCGTAACTCAGAAGTAAGGCAACATCTTCCTGGTAACTGGTTTTTAATGACTCCATTCTTAATTTGTAGCTGACTCAGAGCTGCCATAATGAAATTTGCATGTTCTCCTTTGGGTCCTCATGCTGGCACCTTTGCCGTGGTGCCCTTCTAGATCTGAAGTCAGCAAACTGTGCCCTCAGCCAAGTACAGCACCTCTGCGCCCTCCGTGTTTCTCTACAGACCAAGACCTAAGAATGGGCTTTACACTTATGTAAATAATAGTTGCAGCAGACATCATATCTGGAGGCTTAGGATAATACTTCACTAACCCCCATTCTGATCACTCTAGTCACGTCTCCAAAGGTCTGTCGGTCACAATGCTTCAGTTATCCGTGTCCGGTTTTTGCCATGTGTCAAAGCATAATAATGTGATTTATCACCAGTGTTTCAAGTCACAGCAGTGTTATAGTTTCACTGTATTTACCGCCATCAGGTAGTTTACTCATGTGGCTGGGAACTAAGTGAATGCAACTCTTCGAAATGCTTGCTCCGAGATTCGGTGCAACGCAGGCCCACCTTAGAACAGCCGGCGGCATCTCCACGAGAGCGTGGGCTTTGGAGCTTTGATCCCTGCAGGGTTAGACCATAGCTTTATCCAAGGTGACTCCTACAGTCAAGCATAACTCCCTCTCTTCTCCCTTCTAAGCACAAATTGGCCCACCAGAGGTTGCTTTGACTCCTGATGAGAAATCCATTTCTGTCGTTCTGACTGCTCCAGAGAAGTGGAGAAAAAATCCACAAGAAAGTCCCATTTCCATGCAACAAATATACCCTAATCTGAAGTACAATGTGTCCATCTATAATACCAAGTCCAACAGAACGGTAAGCCCGAGGTGGGTCGGGGGCACATGGTCTGTGTCGCTGTTTGCAGTTAGTGCTGGAGCAAGCGGCTCTGATGCTTTCCGTCTCTGCATGTGGAAATGGGAAGGTGTGGTGTTCCAAAGAGATGGCATCCAAGCCACAATGGAAGCTACGTGGAAACTTAACTTTCTTCAGCTCTCCTCTACAGAAACTCTCTGTTAATGGGGTGTGTTGTTACAGTTGGAGAAGTTGTCCACCTTAATTGGATGGACAGCCTCCTCTTGCATTACATCTATCAGTCACTGTCCAAGAAAGAAACAAAATGTTAACAAGAACACAGGACAAAGTTGAATAAGAAACCACTTTTATGTTGTTATTATTATTAGTATCATTCCCAGGATTGTTCCAGTCCCTGACCATGCTCTGCTGAGCTAAAGGAAAAGGGTATTTGAAAGCTGTTGCTAAAAAGAAAGCTTGTAGTCATAGTAAAGGATTTCATGGTATCCTGGTCTTTTATATCCTGTAGAGTTATTGTCTGGGTGGTAGTGGAAGTCCTTGCCTGTAACTGCTGTTTGCAATCCCCTAACCTAGTGGTCTCAGTGCGTGACCAACCACACGCTGGTGCTCAACTGGCTGGAGCCGGACACTCTGTACTGCGTTCAGGTGGAGTCCTTTGTCCCCGGGCCTCCTCGCCTTGCTCCGCCTTCCAAGAAGCAGTGCATGAGTACTTTGAAAGGTAAGCTTTAAAAAACCCTCCGCTGGCTGAGAAAGGGAGTCTGTTAAAACTAGAAGAGAATATGGCAGTGTAGACAAAGTATTGGCAAACCCATTCCTATCAGAAACAGGTTGAGGCAAAGGCAGGAACAGCTACCGCCAGAAATGCATTAAGCATCCTGGGACACTGCCATTGAACTTGGCCGATGTGCGAGAGTGTTTTCACCCCCTCAGGGAACTCTCAGCACCAGTCCAGGCGCTTGCTGCCAGCAAGCCTCTACCTTGGGAAATAACAGTGAGGAATTTTTACACACATCTTTTTTCTTTTTTAAAATCATAATCACCCTGGGCAGTAGAAGTTCTGTGGTCTTCAAGAACACCAGATAACTTTATTGGTACAAGCAGAGCATTATCTTAAAAATGCTTGGAGACAGAGCCTGTTGCTCCCCCTCAGGAATGCGAATGACGGCTCCACGAGGTGTGCTCATGCGTCACTGACGGCTCATCGGGGTCGCCAGTCAGCAGTCGCTGCCTCGCTCCGACCAACCGTGGCTTCTCTCTCCTTTCTTTCATTTGTCTCCTTCTCACGTTTTCTGACCTCAGCTGCCAAGGAGTCTCCTTCCTGTTAGGAGCTTGGCATTTGTTTAATTATTCTTCCCCCAGGGTGAGGGGACCTTAGACTCAAAATGTGAAATTTTAAAATAAATCCTAAAGTTGACTTTCATTGAATGGCTCTTTGGCCACATTGCTCTCTTCCAAATGTGCTGGCCTGAGACAAATGTCACAGCCTTCCCCCCAAGCCCTGGTTCTGTCACCGGCTGTGGAACGGTGGTGGGTGGCCGGGCCCTGCTCTCCTCTTCCTCACGCCCTCCTCCCGCCCCCCTTGTTGCATGATGAAAATACCCCAGAGAATAAAAAGGGAATTTTGTGAGCACAAATGAAAAGAGAAAAGCTGTATTTTTTAATCTTTAATCTTATCATACCTTCCCTTTCAAATGAAGGGTTCTCTACCACATGTCAAATAAAATTAAAATGCTAAGCAAGCAAAAGCCAAAACAAAGGAGATGGAAGAAATCACTTTTGCGTTTTGGATAAAGTGCTCTGTTTACTAACAGCTTGGTCAGTGGCCAAATGGTGGGCCTGCATTCCAGTGGAAGTCATTTAAGCAGTTGGCTGTGCTAAGCAACTAGAGTGCAGATTAAATTAAATACTTCCCAGTAAGCAGGTGGAGCAACTTCCTAAGCAGCTTAGGAAAGGCAGCAAAACTACTAGGAGGCCCACTTCCGGCTCTGACCTTTTCCGGGCCATCCCAGCTGTTAAAACAACTCAGACACCTTTCCAAGACACTGCTGTGGCACCCTTCTTTTAAAAAAAATCAATATTATCTCTTTTGGGACTATTCTTTCAAAAATACTTCTGCTCTCCACAGTCTCCAAACCCCTAAAATACAAATTGAGTTCTTAGGCTTCTTGTAGTCAACATGAGTTAGCGTGCACCAAGTACCTCTGGCCATTGCTGTCCTGGCTCCTCTTGATTAGGGGCCCAGAGACCCGGGGTGGTGCCAGGAGGCCCGGACTGAGCTGTAGCCTGAAGTAGGAGCAGGTGACGCTCAGCCACCTGCACCATCTGCGTGGCGAAGATGGTGGTGGCACCTTTCTACATAGAATTCGATGGCAGGTGTGCTCCTCAGGAACTGCTCAGCACAGAAGAACCTGCAGTGGGCCCCACACCCAACAACCTGCTTTACTCAGGTTTACTTATTGAAATGCTAATCTCATCTTAAAAAGTGCCTTCACTGAAGTATCTAGAATGATGTTTGACCAAATATCTGGGTGCCATGGTTTACACAAATTAACACATGTAAAATTAACCATCAAACTTCCAAGTACCCCACAGGAGCTTGACAGATAAAAGCCACAACAATCCCTGTTCATCAGCTGTGTACCCCAATCAGTGGGGTCCAGGACCACTTTTCTTAAAACTGTTCACCAGGTCTTATTATTCCCTGATGGACTTTTACTCATCATGAACCCATACATAGTGCATCCAAACTGCTCTCAGTGCACAGCAGCTCAGCCACCTGCCCACACACACTCCCAGCTCCAGATACACCCAGGCTGTCTGGCCGGCCAGTGCAAGGATAGTCCTGTGGGTCACACAGGAGGCGGCACCTGTATTCCTGTCCTCTACTGAATATATGACAACGATGGAGTCGAGTGAGTGGCTCGGGAAAGTGGGGCTGCTTAGTAGGATCTTTGCAAGATGGCGTTGTCACTTGGTTTGGAGTGCTGTGAGTTGCCTGAATTTCAGGTACATTTACCTTCAAGTGTAAACACCACCTGGAATCTCACAGGCAGACATAACATGTTGGAATATACGCTGACCCGGGTTGTTAATGCAGCCTCACTGTAAAGATTTGAGACAGGCCAGATGAGTCCTTAAGACCAGCTACTGTCAGAGATAGGGAGTGTTCTGAGAGCCTTTATAACATCATTTATTAATGAGAAAACCGAATTCCTAAATGGAAGCAGTCTGTCTAAATGGAAGCAGTCTGTCTGCCCAAAGCCTCTTGACATGGCCCGTGTTTTCCCACCACACAGAGTTACATCTGCCTTCCCCCTTTTTTCCAGACCAGACATCAGCTTGGCAGGTTAAAGTCATCTTCTGGTATGTTTTGCCCATATCTGTTACCGTGTTTATCTTGTCTGTGATGGGCTTCTCCGTGTACAGATACATCCACGTTGGCAAAGAGAAACACCCGGCAAATTTGGTGAGTGCTTAGCATGGCAGGACTTGTTATAACAACACACCAGAACAGATACCATTCCTTTTAGGGGCAGAGGGAGTTTAAGGTTAAAAAGCTGATGAATTAAAAAATACTTAACTAGATTAACTCACTAGCATAACCAAAGACAAAGCTTTGACAAAGATTTTATATTTAATGACCAGATTAGACAAGGTCTTGGGATACGGCAGAAAGAAAGTCATGCCCTTCCAGAGGTTCAAGTGTAGTTGGGGGCAAGAATTTCAAAATTATATGTATGGCTAAGATGAAAGCAGGCACTGGGGATTCTTGGGGTACAGGCAGGCACCCTACATGGGAGATCAGGAGAAGTTTCATGCCTGGGCTTGGTTATGAAAGGTGAGTAAGAGTCAGGGACCCACTGCGGGCAGAAGAAACAACAGGGGTGGCTGTTTGGGAAACCATGGAGTATTGCTAAATCCTGAGGTTCCTAATGAGCCGTGAAAGATGAGATGAGAGTGGGTGGGAAGGCCAGGTAATGAGAGAATTGGGCTGTTGTTCTAAGGAACTGGGGCTTTTTTTTTTGTTGGCAAAGAAATCTCTGTAGGATTTTACATTGAGAGTGTCACAGTCAGTAATGTGTTTTACATGGATCCAAATGCGTAGTGAGTGGGTCTAGGACAGCATCAGGGGGAGTGAGACTAGAAGAAACAAATAAAGCAACTAGGAGGGAAGATGAGCGTCTTAAAGGAGCAGAGTAGGGTGGAGGGCTGGAGGCAAAGACCCGGAACGGAAGTGCACGTAAGAGGCAGATGGCCAGGACGCCATCACTTGCAGTGAGGAGAAGCAAGAAAGGAGAAGGAATAACCCTTCTGCTTCTGGACCATGCACTGAAGGGGTCTGAAAGGCTGAGCATAGTTGAACGATAAAAATGACTTCTTTGGGAATTATTAAAATGTATGTTCCCATGTACATGATACATATGTGTACTTTTTTATTATTTCCGTTTTAAAATGTTTATATAAATCTGCCTGCATTTAAGTGTTGGAGTTAGCTCTTTAATGGCATAGGGAAACCTCTCCTGGGAGGAAAATTCACAGAACTGACCACAAGTGACTTTCTGAAACCAAAAAATTTGTGAAAGCATGAAGCTGAAAGACCTGTTTCATAATGTTAAATGAAATCACATCATAGATTAGACAGCGAGGGTGTCACATAACTCATCATTGGCCATCGAAGCAGGCATCTCCCACATATCCCCACCAAGATTTTAATCCAAAACATATGTTTCTGACCTGATTTAGAGTTTCTCCAGCCGCCATAAACTGGCAAATGGATTTTCCTTTTTGGCTTCCTTATAGCATGACTGCACTGGCATATGGGTGGAAGTAAGAAGACCATCCCTACTCATTCTTATCTTCTTTTTTCCCATCTGGTTTTCATGCTCATCCACATGTTTTTGTCCAGGTAACCACAGCTCATTAACAAATACTATAATTAAACTATAATTAACAAAGCAATTTCAAAACCTCTACTTCAGTCAGTTCTCACCACTCCTGATGTGGCAGAAATTCTGATTTTGCAGAATTGAAACCAAGGCTGGAGAAATTAACGCCCCGAATTTCCTCAGCCAGTTAGAGGAGGGGACAGTCACACCGTCATCTTTGACCTGGAAAAATACCCACTCATGAGCCACTTCTCACTTCCGCGTGCACTTCCTGTGCCTCGGGTCTCTTGCCTCCAGGTGAATGAGGTGTTCTGTATGTTCCAAGCGTAACTTTCACTTCAAGGAGTTGGTAAGAATAGATTTTTCAAACCTTCTGATGACAGTGTGAGTTCTACTTAACGACTGTTTTTAATGTCTCCCTTAAAGTGAAAAAGTGAAAACCATTCTCTTCTCTCTTTATAGATTTTGATTTATGGAAATGAACTTGACAAAAGATTCTTTGTACCTGCTGAAAAAATTGTGATTAACTTTATCACCTTCAATATTTTGGAGGATTCTAAAATTTCTCATAAGGATACCAGTGTGATGGAAAAAAGCAATGATGTGTCAGACCTGAGTGAGCCCGGTCGAGAGGAACTGGAGGTGAAACACTTAGGGTACGCTTCCCATGTGGTGGACGGTTTCTGCGACGCGGAGCCAAGCTCCGGAGGGCCTCTCCTGACCCAGCAAGAGGCACTCGGCAGAACAATACCCACAGATAAAATGGTTGTTGAATATGAATATGATGTAAGAACTACTGACATTTCTGTGGGGCCTGGAGACCAAGAGCTCAGTTTGCTGGAGGAGGTGTTCCTACCGGGAAAAGTGTCTGAGCAACAGGCAGCCTTGACAGACTCGGGCCTACACATACTACTGTATTCATATGCCCCTCAGCTCAGGGACCTGGACCACCTGCCAGAGGAGCATGCGGACCCAGAAGAGGGGCCAGAAGAAGAGTCATTGACCACACTGGTTGACTGGGACCCTCAGACTGGCAGGCTGTTTATACCTTCATTATGTGACTTTGAACATGACTCAGAGGCCTGTGAGCATCCTGAGTACAAGGAGCTCCCAGATGAGAGCCTTTTGTCTAGACTTTATGAGGAGCAGGCTTCAGACAAGCCTCTGGAAGAAGATGAAACCTATCTGGTGCAATTTTTGGAGGAATGGGGATTGTATGTACAAATGGAAGACTAGCACCCAAACTCCCCTCCCTTAAGGCGTATGAGTGTGAACAATCACGTGACCAAGCAATAAAGTACCTGGGTAACAGTTTACCCATATTTTACCCATATTTCTCTGTATCAGGGAGAACTGCTTATTTCTTCTCTCTCTTCGCATAGCACTTATTTCAGTCTGCCTCGTGTGGGCGGTTGGTCCGTGCCTGGGGGCCTCTGACAGTGATGGCAGGCCCTGGGGTGCCGTGGCTGGCACACTGCTTTGTATCCAGTAAGTACTCCAAAATGTTTGCCAGATCGGATGCCCAGTGTATTCAGGTGGATGTACTGTGACCTCTTTGTGATTTTCTAATAAGCACACTTCCCGAGTTATTTTCTGGGCACTTAATTGTGTAAGTAACATTGCAAAAAATATTTCATGTCATAAGTACTACTTTTTTAGAATTTGGCTTATTGTTAGAAGAATGAGATATTTAAAACACGCAAATATCACTGAGTATGTGGTAAGTTGGTCATACTTAAGGACCCTAACCCACCATTGAATCAACAATACAAGTGCAAAGTGAACAAATCAAGCACAGATCTTGATATCACACACTTTGGGCTATTTTAAGCAGTCTTATTAATACTTTATAAGAAGTTCTGAAGTATAAACATAAACTGTAATTATTATTTTGTAGTCAGAAAATGTCCTCTCAGGAACTTAGGGACTTTTTAGTAGGGGACTAGCCTGAAAGAAAACATCACATTTTATAATGGAATATTGCACTTCTTTCTGAAAATGTTTTTCTTTAATTAACTTTATTGGGGTGACATTGGTTAACAAGGTTATACATAGGGGTCAAGTGTGCGTTTCTGTGATCCATGATGTGTACATTGCATTGTGTGCCCACCACCCAAAGTCAGATCATCTTCCATCACCATATATTCGGCCCTCTTTAGCCCTTCCCAGCCCCCACCCCTTCCCTCTGGTATCTACCACACTGTTGTCTGTGTCTGTGAGTTTCGGTTTTCTATCCCGCATGTGAGTAAAATCATACAGTTCTTAGCTCTTCCTGACTGACTGGCGTCATGGAGCGTACTGTTCTCAAGGTCCATCCGTGTTGTCACAAATGGCAGTAGGTTGTCTTTTCTTAGGCTCCGTTGTAGTCCACCGTGTATGTGTACCACGTCTTCTTTGTCCGGTCCTCTAGCGAAGGACACTTCGGTTGTCTCCACATCTTGGCCACCAGGAATAATGCTGCAGTGAACATAGGGGCACATGGATCTTTGTGAATAAATGTGTTCGAGTTTTTCAGGTAGGTACCCAGGAGAGGATCGCTGGGTCGTATGGCAACTCTATTTTTAACTTTTTGAGGAACTGCCAGACTGTTTTCCTTGTGGCTGTGGCCGTGTACATTTCCACAGCAGTGGAACCTTTCTTTCTTCTCCACAGCCTCCCCAACACTTGTGACTGCTTGTCTTGTTGACGATAGCCCTTCTAACAGGTGTGAGGGGGCATCTCATTGTAGTTTTCATTTGCATTCCCCCACTAGCTAGTGGAGTTGAGTATGTTTTCATGTCTGTTGGCCAATTGTAGATCTTCTTGGGGGAAGTGTCTGTTCAGGTCCTCTGCCCATTTTTTAATTGGATTGTTTGTTCGGTGTTGAGCTACGACGATTAAAGCAGCATGGTATTGGCAGAAAAACAGACATGCAGAATGGAACACAACTGGCAGCCTAGAAATAAAACCATATGTATATGGGCAAATAATTTTTGACTAAGGAGCCAAAAACAACAGTGAAGAAAAGAAAGCCTCTGCAGTGAATGGTGCTGGGAAAATTGGAAGGCCACATGCAAAAGAATAAAACTGGATTCCAGTTTGTCCCCACGTGCAAAAATTAACTTGGAATGGATCAAAGACCTAAATATAAGATCTGAGACCATAAATTGCAGAGAAGAAAGCATAGGTACTAAACTCGGGCATCTGGGTCTTAGAGAACATTTTATGATTCGACCCCAAAGGCAAGAGAAGTAAGGCAAAAGTCAATGGGTGGGGCTATATCAGAGTAAAAAGTTTCTGCACAGCAAAAGAAACTGCCAGCAGAAACAAAAAGGCAGCCAATGGAATGGGAGGTGATATTCGCAAACAGTAGCCCTGGCGAGGGGTTGATATTCAACGTATATAGAAATATGTTTATGAGATATTTACATAGTCTGTAACTAGAACATGTTTAGCAGTTGAAACAATGTGTGACTATTACATTACTCTATTAAAATGGACAGTGTCTCAAAGACTACTTGGAATATGTATGAATGGATATTCCTCATCCACACAATCTTAAGATGAATAAGTAGACAAGGACATACAAAAGGAATAGGTTCAATGAACATGGAAGGTTAAGTGTATTAAACATGTGACCTAATTCACTGTGGGAACTAAAGTGCACCATAAAGCAACACCATCCTAGTTAACGTCCAGTAACTATTCCAGTCCCCTTCACCGTTCACTTAGAGAATTAAATTCTACAGTTTCACTGCATTAAAATATGACAGCATTGATTAAGTTGAACCATGTAAAATTGTTAATATTTGACTAGTTTTGACCTGCACACACAGCAATTTCATATGATTTACCTCAATACATACTCGTTTTAATCACAAACTCATGATCCATTGAAGCTCTTTCAGGAAAACAGATATCCATATTTCCTCATTAGTATTTTTGGCACAGGCAGACCATGCTGGTGGCAGAGATGGATGTCTCGGCCTGGAGTCTTGGTCTTTTGAGATTGTCCACAAATCCAAACAGCTTCTGATCTAATGGTTTAATTTAGAGCATAATTATATTAACCAGAGTGTTCTGTTCCTCTCAATGTTTGTAAAAGTGACGCTGCCAGTTTTGAAGGACAGGTTTATAATACTAACTGTGAAAGCAGAACAGATGTGGGAAACAATGGGTCGTTACTAAGAGCAAAAAGAAAAAAAGTGATTGATGATAGTTTGGCTTATTTCGTTCACAAAATATTTGTTGAGCACCTACTATGTCTTAAAATGTCCTCATCTATGAACTAGGGATGACGACTCACTTAGGGTCGTTCTGAGGATAGCGTTAGAGTATACAGAAGGCACTTAGAATGGTGCCTGGTGCATAGTGAGTGCTGTGTGTGTGTGTGTGTGTGTGTGTGTGTGTGTGGTGTCATCATCAACAGCAAGGAGCAAGCTTCGCACCAGAAAGAGAAGCCATTTAGACGTACGACTATTTCTGTTCAAAGCGGAGTTTTTCTTTGTTTTTCGTACCTGAAAGTACAGTAGTAATTTGCTTCCCACTTCATGCCTTCAGGTTGAAACCCATGAGGGTTTTATGAAAAGTAATGTAATTCTGAGTTGTTTTTATATCTTTTGTCAGTCTAAGCAAGTGAGAACTATTGAGCATTTTTAAAATTGTGTTGCTTCAGTATTTTGCAACATACGTACACACATGCACATTGAAATGTGAGCACATAATCAGTATTTTTATGGGGAAGGTAGCACATTCTAAGATTCTGAGATGTGTCTGTGTTGGTGATGCCCCCTGGGCAGCCTGTCACCTCTGCTATCAGGGCTCAGCAGCTCTGAGAAGTCATCTTCTGGGACCTCGTCAGGTTCCATCCCTGAGCCTGAGGCGCACACGGAGCTGGGAAGTGAAGGTCTCAGAAACTTTGACAAGTACTCGTCATCCTCTCACTGGCTTTTTGTCAGCTCTAGGATTTTTATACCTCTTCCACATCAGGTAAGTTTTCCCCGTGAACACATCTATTAGTGGCTCTTTTTCTGCAGGAGGTCATAAATTCTAAACAACTGGGTAAATAAAAATACCCCACTACAAAGTGAGTGAAACCTAGTACCACGTTTTGCACAAAGGAAGAGAGTATGTAAAGAAGGACACTTGTCCCCTCGCACTACGAAATGGACAAGATCAGGTGCCCCCAGCTGAGCTCAATTCCAAGGAAATCAGTGCCAAGAAAAACTACTGGGACGGGCAGCAGTGCACGTCTGGCCGGCGTGGTGAATGGAATGAGACCTCAAACAGGTCTCCATCGGCATGGACGGTACGCTGGGTCATCACTCAGATAAAGCACGTTCCTTCCGGCCCTCACATTGCCACCTCCTTCCCCTGAGATGAATTTTTGCTAAATTATCTGGGAAGAACTGTTTTTTCTCTATTTTACTTTGCGGTTCCTCACATTATATCTTCCATGACACTTGTACCTACAGTTTTTCCAAAGACCTCAGTCAAAAGCATGTGCCTGTAAATTTTAAATAAATAGTTATATGGTTGTGGGTATTTTAATAGTAGCTTCTATTTTGTTGCCATAAAAGGTGAATGTACACATACTCACTGTAGAATAACTAGAAATAAAGAGGGGTGACCTGTAATACTCCCACCCAGATTTAGCCACTGTAAGCACATTAGGGTAAAGAAATGATCCTCAACTTGGGCGGGGGCGGGGGGGGCCCCCTCTGCTTCCCATGGGACATTGGGCAGTCTCTTGAGACATTTTCGATTGTTAGGACTCCCAGAGGGTACTTCTAGCACATATTGGGGAGAAGCCGGGAATACTGCTAAAAATCCCACTATGTGCAGGGCCGCCCCCATAGCAAACTGCTGTCCTGCCCCAGTGTCAATCATATAGCCTAGCTGATAAACCCTGGTGTAGAAATTTCCACACACTTCAGTGCATGTGTGCGTGTGTGTGTGTTTATACACACACGTATATATACACGTATGTACATATGTATAATATATATACATTTTCCCCCAAAAAGGTTCTCATACTGAACCCTTGTATAACTTGTTCTTTTTATTGAGACATGTATAACAAACGATCTCCTTTTAACTAAGATTCACTTTATGAAGTTTCAGTCTTATTCAACTAAAACTATTGAAATGGCAGATTATTAATTATTTTTCTAAATGTGATGCTTTAAAATATTTTTTAGTCAAGCACCCACCAGCAGCTGGCGTTTCTAAGAGCAAAGTGCTGTGAGTCCTGGAAAGGTACCTGGCTACCTGGCCCTCTTCAGACCTTGCGCCCTGAAAATCGCTAGCTCTGCAGAGGGGCGGGGCGGCTCTTTGGCGGTCGTTCACCTCCCT